AGGAGGGAGCGGGCTTCGGAGAGGCGAGGGAATAGGCCGACCCGACCCTATCCCTAAACCTCAGGGGCGTTCGTCAGAGGGCTAGACCTGGCCTGGGCGCGTGAGCGCTGCCAGCGTCGGGCCTCCTCTTCGGCTGGCCCATCGCAGGCGAGCTCGGATGAGCTGGCGGAGCTGCGTTGTCGACCGCTCCCGCTCCCGAGAAGCACAATGCAGACAATAAGCATGTCATGGACGAGGCCAACAGAGAGCAAAGCAGGGACGGGCAGGGGCCCAAGAGGGAAGTTGAGGAGGCGGGACGAGGCAGAGGCAGTGAGAAAGGACGGGGGAAGCAGGGGCAGAGCAAGGAACAACATATCGGAAATAGGACATGAATAATCATGTAGAATGTCATCACCCCCGACTGCGAATTGGCACCATTTACACCTACGGGTGGGCTCTCGGAACCTTCGCGTCGTGCACCAGCTATTGCACAAGGCCCTCAGGGCGACCATAAACATCCAGGAAGGGGCATTCTGACCCAACCGCCGAAGGTACAAAACACAAGCATCAACCTGGGCAGCCGCCGAGGGGAGACGAGTGAAATACCTGATGCGCTTGCCCAAGGTGGTCCTATAGCTCGGGGTTTTCGGGGCTGGTTAATGTTGGTGCACTTTCCGCTGGAGCGGTGGGTCATGAGACGGAGCACGTGGGAGGGCCAACATCTCGTCGTAGTTCTTAACCAGGCTTATGATGGACGATGACTTGGCGATCGGGTGCCTCTTCCATAGGATGGCGCATTCGTCGCCCCCGTTAAATTCGAAGATTTGCCGCCTGAGCTCGAAGAAGGCTGGGGGGGAAAAAAAACATCCGAAACATAGCGGCCTTGCACATGCAGACGAGGTCGCAGATCTGACACGCTCCGCCGATCTCTTTGAGCTGACACAAGAGAGTGGTTGGGAGGGCGTTCCTACGGGCATTCGTCATGCACTGGCCAGCTTCTCGACGCCTTGAGACAGCAAGCTCGGATGGGTAATGAAACTGGCCAGTGAACGTGAGACAGCTAAACCGTACATGTTATATCTGGCAATACTCTTGGTGAGGCCGAGATCAAGGCTCTTGGTGATCCTCGCCCTCCCCTCCATTTTCCTGGTCGGCCCCTCCCAACTCAGTGCCCGTGCGTCCCATCCAAAAAAACTCCGAAGTACTTGGCGGCCGGGGCGAGAGAGAAGTTGGATCCCCTGATCCCGAGCGTCCGCAGTTTTTGCTCGAACTCGCTCCTGGAAAGCCTAGAATATGGCACCGCGACGGCCTTTTTCACGTGCAGGACGAGGCCGGCAGCACCGGCAGCGATAACCCAAACTTCGAGAGAGAGAGAGAGAGAGACCCAGAGCACGATACACATCCCGAGCAACGAGGCCAACGTCATCGGCGAATGCTCGGATAGTCCCAAGCGGCCGCGGAATTTTGAGGCACATCATGCGAAGGATGGGGTCGAGCGCCAGGCTGAAAAAGGATCCCGAAAGCGGACACCCCTGCTTAATTCCCCGTTTCTGAAGATAGTGGTGCCCTCGGAGTCCCGCAAAGAAAACGTCAATCTTGACGTTGTGGTACAGCGAAGCTACAGCTAACCGAATATGAGTAGGCACATTCATGACGAGGACCCAAGAGATCATGCAGTGGAGGAGGCTGGGAAGACCGTCTTCACGTCAAAGGCGGCAAAACCTGCTTCCTTACACGCATGCTGGCAGAACCAAGACATCGCCCTGGCCTCGATGTCGAGAATACTGTTAGTCATACTGCGACCTTTCATGAATCCTTTCTGTACATCGAGGCAGGTCTGCTGGCATACTGAGCCCAGGGGGATATTGAAAGCAGCGGATACTGCCTTATTGCACGTGTTGCTGAGGGTGATGGGCCTCGTACATTCAGGAGTCCGAAAGATACCTGCGCCTATTGTGTCATTCGGTTGCTCGCCCTTGAGAAGGAAGACTGCCATGCCGCGGTTAAAGTCGTCCCCTGGAAGCTGCCCTTGGAGAACTGTGGAGTACACCTGGAACAAGAGAGCTTGAATTTCAGGGCCGCCGCGAGCCCAGCACAAATAAGGGAGCCCGTCGGGCCCAAGAGCGCTGTCGCACATACCTTTGAGGAGGTCTGTGAACCCGGGGAACTCGGGGTCCCAAATGATCCCAGGAGGACAGGGTTGAACATGAGGCCTCAGAAGCTCCCTGGTGTTGGCGTTCCCTTGGAACTCCTGGTGGATGGCCCCCCAATGCCTAGCAAGTTCGCGCCCAACGTCGTCGGGATCGTGCGGCTGCTGCCCCGTCGGATCCACGAGCCCAGTGAGGGAAACCTTCTTCTGGAACTTGCCCCAAGCGGAGGTGTAGGACTCAAGACGGGCCTTGAGGGTGACCTTCTCTTGGGGGGGCCATCGGGGCTCTCTCGATGTCGTCTTGGCGCTCTTGGACCCTCTGGAGCGAGAGTTCTCGCAGGTGCTCATGAAACTGTCGCTCTCGAGTCCAGCCGACACCCTCGGCCTGCACGAACGAGCTGAGGAGCGGGTAGCAACTTACAGCCTTACGCACCAAGCTGGCGTTGCCTGTGCGGACGGCTCGCATTAGACAGTGACCAGGTGACGCGCTCGTCGGTAATCCCTGCAGGGCGCAATTCGAGCCGTCGGCGAACAAGTGTAGCAGCGCCGTGAAGGACCTCTTTAGCCTCCTGAAGGGCAGCCCCGAGATCCTGGGAGAGTGGGCCAACTTCATGAAGTAGCTTTTCAACTTCTTCGGCGAACCATGGATGTCGGGAAACCCACGAAGGGGAACTTTCGGAGGCCCAGGATTGAGCACGGGGAAAACGTAACACACACAGGGACGTGGTCGGACGGGTTCTTCGGCTTGTTCGGGGTCCCAAGAACGAGGCTGTTAGGGAACAAGTCCAGGGCCTGTGCAGGGAAGTGATTGGTATAGGTGCGGTCGATTAGCCCAAGACTGACGCCGGCCTGGGTAAGCTGGGAGGCGTGGGTAAACTCGGGCTGGTGGACCTCTAAAAGCTCGGGGAACAACCTGCTAAACTCGCTGGCAAACGCGTTGGTCGGGATGACGTTTCTCCCGTCGCTGTGGGCTCTACTCTCGCCGAGGCTCGGGAAATTCCAGTCGCCAAAGAGGAGGAGGAGGAGGAGGAGGAGGAGGAGGAGGAGGAGGAGGAGGAGGAGGAGGAGGAGGAGGAGGAGGAGGAGGAGGAGGAGGAGGAGGAGGAGGAGGAGGAGGAGGAGGAGGAGGAGGAGGAGCCTTCCGATCCGTCTCCCTCGTGCGGTAGCGGACCGCGTCCAGCCGCGCCCAGAGCCTGGCGCGCGCACCGCTGAGCCCGCAGACGTGCGCGGCGGCCTCCTCGAGCTGGGCCTGCAGCTCCGCGCACCGGCGCTCCGCCGAGGCGGCCCGCGAGCGCTCGTCCGCCAGCCGCGCCTCGAGGTCCCTCTCCCGCTGCGCCTCGAGGCCCCTCTCCCTCTCCTCCCTCTCCTCGCTGGCCAGGCTCCTCCGCACGCTCCTCTGCGCGGCCTCCCCGACCTCGGCCAGCGCGCGCTCTGCGCCCGCCGTGTGCTGCCGCAGCGCCTCCATGGTCGCCTCGTGGGCCTGCAGGAGCTCCCAGCTGCCCTGGCGCTCGGCCTCCAGCTCGGCCTCCGCCTCGCGCCGCGAGCGGTCGGCCTCCTTTCGAGCAGTGCATCGTCCACAGAATTCACTTGCCCCAAACTTGACTTCCTCTTCGAATCTGCCAACAGCTCGGATGATGTTCGTGGCTCTACGAACATTGTAGACGATCCCCTGCTCGATCCTTCTCGCTCCTCTCCAGGGCCAAGATCTTGCGCCACAGGGCCTGCAGCTCCTCCCCCAGGGCCTGCACCTCGGCACCCGCGGGGGGGGGGGGTCGAGCGAGGGTGCGGTGGAGACGGAGATGCGTGCGAGGACGCCCAGCGTAAGTGCCAGGCCTCTTGAGGGGCAGTCTGTGGCGAACTGCGGCGGGGCCCAGGAACGAGACGAAGAATGCTAGGAACAGATCGTGCCCCAGATCGCGCCGCATCCGATGCATCGGTGATGCGGGGCGACCCTTCGACCTCACTCCAGCCTCATCTGGGTGGCCTGGACTCACACTGGTTCATGTCGCGCTGACTCGGGCGTTGGCTTTTGACACCGCGTGAATCCTTGGGCAACCGCGCCTCTCCCACAGCGCAGAGCCTTCAATCCTGGCCTACATTGGGCCACTGGCGGCGTTCAGCCTTGAGCGCGCGCGCTTGGGCTGCCGCCGCGCCCGTGCGGCGCAGAGCCGTGCCTTAACCGAGTCTGGGGGCGAATGTCAAAGGGAGGAAATAGCGACCTGGAATCGGCAATACATCGCCGATAGACCAGCCGTAGGTCCCCGATAGCGAATCCGCATGTTCCTGGGCGGGGTGGGCTGCCGGTGCCCTATCAGCGAACAGTGACGATTGGAGGTCGATGCGCCCCCCCCCTGAGCTCATCTCACCCCTAACGTTGCTCCCTGGCTTTAGGGTCAAAACTCGGTTCTCCCGCGGCCAGTCGGGACGATTCGGGCACCCCGGGAAAGCTCTCGGCTGGGCACAGCCGCTGGAAGGCAGAAAGCCGACGAGAACGTCCGCAAACCTCCGAACCTCGAAGCCTTTCGTCTCGCGCACCTCAGAGCCTCTCGTCCCAAGCCTTCGAGCGCTGCCCCTGAGAAGCCTCCCCCCCGGACAGCGCCTCCCGGCCTGCGAGCGACCACAATGCGCTTCACCACTGCGAAGACAACAACGACGACGACGACGACGACGCCGACGCCGACGACGACGCCGACGACGACGACGACGACGACCGACGACCGGCGACGACCGACGACGACAGCGCCTGGGCGTCCTCCGCCCCCGTGCGCCGCTCCGACAACGCCCGCGCGGCCACGGCTTCGCCCCACCGCGCGACCGCCTCGCGCCACCTGGCTCCGGAGGACCCGGCCAGCGGCGAGCCCGGCGGCGCGCCCTGGCCGGCCGCGCAGGGCGGCGCTTCGCGGCGGCCCTGCCTCGCCGCGGGCCCGTCCGAAGCGCCTGTGGAGGCCTCCCAGATGGGGTCCGAGTAGCCGGGGTCGAAGGCTCGCGCCGCATCGCCAATGCATCGCCGATGCATCGGCGATGCATCGGCGATGCACCAGCGACGTCGGCGATGCATCGGCACCGGCAACGTGGGCGTGGAGAAGATCGGGCCCCACATCGAGCCGCATCGCCGATGCATCGGCGATGCGGCGCGATTCACTGACCCCAGCCATGCGACGCCCTGATTTTTTCAATGCGGAATCCCTGGAGGCCCCGACCCTTTCCCCGGGACCGGCTGTTCCTCCCGAGTCCCTTTTTGACGGCCCCGAGGCCCGGCGAGGGCCCCCCGAGGCCGAAACTGGCCAAACCCTGCCGTCCTGATTGATAAAAACAATGCGATCATGTCTGGGGCCCCATGTGCTCGGACCCTATCTAGGAGGCCTAGAGCCTCGAGAAGGAGGAGGAGGAGGAGGAGGAGGAGGAGGAGGAGAACGAGGAGGAGGAGGAGGAGGAGGAGGAGGAGGAGGAGGAAAAGGAGAAGAATGAGGAGGTGGCGGAGGAAGGGGGGGGAGGAGGCAGAGGAGGAGGGAGGGGGCCTCGGAAAGCTACGGGCGGAGTGTGGCGGAAAGGCCCCTGGCGGCGGGTGGTGCCGCTTTGGATGGCTCCCACAAGCGGCGGTTGCGGGCTGGGGGTGGGGCGCAGGGCCTACGGTCCCCGAACATTGCAACATCTTGAAAAAACACGACCACAATCTCTGACATCTGGCGGTTCTGGGTGATGTCTTTGGCGCCGCGGCCTTCTCAGAGTGTTCCGGAACGCCTGGAACGAATGTATCTTCGTCCTACCCTGAGATCCGGCGTCTCGAACAAAAATGAAACATCGTGAAACATCATAACCAAATCCCTGGACCCCATCTCTCTGCGTCATTTTTAAAGCCGGATCGATATGTGTGTGAGGGTCCTGGGGCCCGAAAACAACACGAAAACGCCCGTTGTGAGACAATTGCATCGCCAAGATCTGAGGGGTGCCCTCGGTCTGTCACTCCGACAGGCATCTGGAAAAATTGTGCAGAAGGCTCCCAACTGGGGTCCGAGCAAATGGAGTCGGAGGATCGCGCCGCATCGGCGCCGTCGGCGTAGAGAGAGTCAGGCCCCACACATACGCTGACCCCCTCTGTGGGGCCCCGACTGTGGGGCCCCGGATGTTGTCCGTCCCCCCCCGCCCCCCCCTGGTAAGACCCGCCGTTCGTGCGAATATAACCAAGTGTTTGTATGCTTCCTGGCGATTGAAACGCTTTGGATCATCAGTTTACTATCCTGCATGTTCGTCGTCGTTCTTCTTCATATTCCTGTTCTTATTCATCTTCCCGTTCTTTGTAATGCCTGTACACAAAGATTCCCTGTGTGGCGACCTTACACAAGGGCTTTACTTGTGGAGGATCTACAATGGCCTCCACATTTAGAATCATTGTGTAGCAGCCTGTACAAAAAGAGTTCCTTTTGTGGCAGCCTTATACTAAGGTTTTCATTGTGGGGGATCTGCAATGGCGGCACCGTTGGCCCAGGAGAAACAGAAAAAGAAATGAAAAACAAGAAAAACATAAAAAGCCGGTGCTTCCACACGGGAAAACAAGAACACTTAGGACAACCTGTGACAGTCGCTATTTTCAAAGTGCAGATGACCTAACACTTAAATCATGTTGTAGCGGCCTTTACACAAGGATCCTTTTTGTGGCGACCTTACAAAAGTATTGTGGGGGACCTGCAATGGTCTCCACACTTAGAAACCTGTTGTAGCAGCATGTACAAAAGGGATTCCTTTTGTGGCGGCCTTATGATAAGGTTAGAATTGCGGGGGATCTGCCGTGGCGGCACCGTGGGCCCAGGAAAGCTAGAGAGGAAAACAGGATCTTAGAACGAATGGTATAATTACAAGTTTTCCCATTTGTTCTTGTTTACCCTGTGAAAACACATGGGTAAAACACAGGGCCATTGCAGATCCTCCACACTTAAAATCCTTTTGGTAAGGTCGCCACAAAAGGGACGCTAGTTGTAAAGGCCGCTACAAAATGCTAGGTCGTCCGCGCTCTAAAAATCCGCCGACCCTGTCGTCGTGTGGAAGACGTATCCTGGTCTCGTCATCTTGCGTGGGTCGTCGTCGCCCACGAGACCGTCACGTCGGCTCCAAGAGGGGTGGTCGGCTCCCCTCGGGGGAGGGGAGCTGACCACGACACCGCCGCGTCGGCTCCAAGAGGGGGAGTGGTCGACTCTCCCCGGGCAAAGGGAGCGGCCGCGAACTGGGGGGGGGAAGCTGATCGACTTCTCCCTGGACACGGGGGGGAAGCCAATCTGAGCAACGTCGTAGCTTACTCGAAGGGGGGCCCCTTCCCTTCCCTCCTTTTACCCCTTCCCCCCGAAGGGGGGGGAGAGGGGTGGGGGGGGTCCCACCCAGATACCCGGGGGGGGGGGGGGGGGGGGCACCCAGGCGGCTCCCTTCGGAGGAGGGGAGCGGCCGCGACGCGGAGGGGAAGCCAAAGGGGTGGTCCCGGAATGTGGTCCCGGGGGGGGTCCCGGGTCAGAATACCGCCCTCCCGGGACCCATGGCCCGCCCTTTCACTCGCATTTCCGTCGAAGGCCGAGGCCTCCAGGGTCGGCGGCACTGGCCGTAAGGCCTTAGCAATAGCGACACTCACAGGTGTTCCTAGCTTTTTCTTGTTCCCATGTGAAAACACAAATTTGTTTTATGTGTTTCTTGTTTTGTGCTGTGTTCTAGTTTGGCAGCCTTGTTTCTGTGTGTTTTTGCATGTTTTCATTGTTCTGGTGTTTTTGAATGTTTGTTTTCCTGTGTTCCTTTTTGGATCCCTTTTGTGTGGCAACCTTTCAAGCAAAGGTGTTTCTTTGTGATAGATCTGCACTGGCCCCCACACACGGAATCCTTTTGTAGCAGCCTCTACGAAAGGATTCCTGTTGTGTCGGCCTTACAATAAGGTTTTCATGTTGGAGAATCTGCAGTGGCGGCACCGTGGGCCCAGGAAAGCTAGAGATGATAACAAGAACAACAGGAAGCACAGTAAAACAACGTGTGTTTTCGCAGCGGTATACAGGAAACAATTCGGACAACTTGTGACTGCCATTATTTCTGAGGTCCTGTTGTCCTCGCTAACTTGGTCCACGGCGCCGCCATTGCACATCCCCCGCAAATTCAACCCAATTGTAAGGCCGCCACAAAAGGAATCCTTGTGTACAGGTTGCTACATAAGGATTCTCATACTGGAAGCCATTGCAGATCTCCCACACGTGCAATCGTGTTGTAAAATCGCCGCAAAAAATCCTTTTGTAAAGGCGTTACAGAAAGACCTTGGGAGAAGAAACAGGAACAGGAAAATGAAGAAGAACGAACACGACAAACATGCAGGATGAGTAAGCTGATGATCCATAGCGTTCCAATCGGCAGGGGATCGATCAAAAACGCATTGTTGTAATCATACAAACAGCAGGTCGGACCGACGCCCCGCGGACAGACCACGGAGCCAACCCGAGGAGCCAACCCGAGGCCTTTTCCAGGCTGTGTCACGCGCGCTGGGGTCTGGCGGCCGCGGTGTGGGCGGGCTGCGCAAAACAAAAAATCAGTGCGTGAAAAACACGGCGTAACACCACGAAATCCTGTGACGTACCCAACCCATTTGTATCAATGGAAACGAGGAGTTGGCCGAAACTTGTATGGACAATCAACTTGATGTGTAAGCTACTTGGGAGGCGTCACTGTGCTGGGCCCCGCCAGCAGGCACCGAAAGTGGCGACAGTTTCACAGATCGCACCCCCCCAGGGATGGCGAGGTCTAATTTGAATCTGCGTGTGGCGTCACTGTGCTGGGCCCCCCAGCAGGCCGCGAAAGTGGCGACAGTTTCACAGATCGCAACCCCCCAGGGATGGCGAGGTCTAATTTGAGTCCGCCGCGGGTGCAGACTGTGCTGGGCCCCCCAGCAGGCCTCGAAAGTGGCGACAGTTTCACAGATCGCAGCCCCCCAGGGATGGCGAGGTCCCATTTGGGTCCGCCGTGGGTACCCACTGTGCTGGGCCCCCCAGCAAGCCTCGAAAGTGGCGACAGTTTCACAGATCGCAGCCCCCCAGGGATGGCGAGGTCAAATTTGAGTCCGCCGTGGGTACCCACTGTGCTGGGCCCCCCAGCAGGCCTCGAAAGTGGCGACAGTTTCACAGATCGCAGCCCCCCAGGGATGGCGAGGTCAAATTTGAGTCCGCCGTGTGTACCCACTGTGCTGGGCCCCCCAGCAGCCCTCGAAAGTGGCGACAATTTCATAGATCGCAGCCCCCCAGGGATGGCGAGGTCCCATTTGAATCCGCCGTGGGTGCAGACTGTGCTGGGCCCCCCAGCAGCCCTCGAAAGTGGCGACACTTTCGCAGATCGCAGCCCCCCAGGGACGGCGAGGTCCCATTTGAGTCCGCCGCGGGTGCAGACTGTGCTGGGATGGCGAGGTCCCGTTTGAGTCCGCCGTGGGTGCCCACTGTGCTGGGCCAAGCAGCCCTCGAAAGTGGGGGCAATTTCGCACATCGCAGCCCCCCAGGGACGGCGAGGTCTCATTTGAATCCGCCGCGGGTGCAGACTGTGCTGGGCCCCCCAGCAGCCCTCGAAAGTGGCGACAGTTTCGCAGATCGCAGCCCCCCAGGGACGGCGAGGTCCCATTTGAGTCCGCCGCGGGTGCAGACTGTGCTGGGCCCCCCAGCAGCCCTCGAAAGTGGCGACAGTTTCGCAGATCGCAGCCCCCCAGGGATGGCGAGGTCCCATTTGAGTCCGCCGCGGGTGCAGACTGTGCTGGGCCCCCCAGCAGCCCTCGAAAGTGGCGACAGTTTCGCAGATCGCAGCCCCCCAGGGATGGCGAGGTCCCATTTGAGTCCGCCGCGGGTGCAGACTGTGCTGGGCAGGCCTCGAAAG